GCACTTGCAACACAATAAGGTCAAACAGATCTAGATCTACAAATCTAGATCTAGATCCAAGCGCCGAAGATTAGAGGTGTTACAAGAGAGTAACAAACTTAAACACAAAAAAGGAGGGAAATAGAAACGATAGGATTAAGACTTAGGTTAGGGTTTGGCTATGTGCATAGTGGACCCGGACTCAGCTTTTGAAAATATGTGAATGTTCTTTGATGTGAGTAAAAGAATAAAGAAGGAAACTTCCAAGTGGCGTCTACTCTGCCTCCACCCTTTAAGAAAGAACTTGGTCACGGTCCTTTATTGTGTTTGTTGAGGTAGTGACTCGTTACAGAAGTCCTTCACGGACTTAAGTCACAAAAAACGTCAAATCTACAGGACTATTAGGTCCAGATATTACAGTTTATGGTATAGATATTGACTATAGACATAAAATTGGAGAAAATTGCGTTGAAAATATACAAATTGGACAGCTTCGTCGATTTCTGGCTGGTAAGCAGCTCATTTTGTCTGCACGCTTTAGTATTGTCCCTGCCCATGAGAATCTTGAAAATAATCACTTACGGAGAAATTTTGAGGAAAATTAAAAAAAACCGTAGCCATTTCTATGCACATAGCCTAGGTCTGGACAGTGGACAGTGGTGAGTGACTCACCTAGGGCGGTGTCGAGAGTTATGAGGAGAGCAGCAAACACTGGGACAGACATCTCCGCCCACTGAAGACGCCGGAATCTTGTCAGGAAAAGGAGAACCCACAACTTGTCTTGTCCTACAACTCTCCAAAAGACACAGAGAAAGCTCTGGGAGCTTGGGAAGATAGACTGTGTATATTTGTTAGATCTGGCTATACTTCGCTGTTATCTGTGTTCAGATCTCACTTTGCGTTGACATTTGTCTCAACTTTCCTTTTATACAAATTTATTTTGAAAACCGGAAATAAAAATACTCGAGATCTGCTTGAGCTGTAATTATTCACAGCGTAAAAAAAACAACCCTTGTCTCAAAAACTGAGTAGACATTGTAACAGTAGCTACAAAGTTGTGGTGGGGGGTGGGGTGTTACAGTGCCACGATTTCGTGGTCAGGGGTGAGTGAAAAACGAAAAGGGGTTGAGGTGGGGATAGGGAGTAGAACACGTTTTTTATTGGGGGTGGGGTGGGGTGGAAAGGCATACGTGTTCCTAGAGAAGGGGGACCTTGGGGTGGGGGCGGATTATTTATGCAGATTTGTAATGTTTCGAAAAATATAAAACGATTTTACAGAATCAGAGCTGCCTTGTTGCAAGTCTAACATATTTGCCACGGTGTTGACATCGAGAAACCAAAAATTGTTCCCCCCCCCTCA